AAGCTTTTTTTTTTATCTTCTAAGTGTTTGGGTCCACTTCATTGTTAGAACCATAGGATTGCATACCTTGATCACCTAAAGGTACTTAGATTTAAATTACTTCAATTTGTGCACTATAGAGGAAGATACACTCTAGTATCTCTATTCAAATACCTAAGTATTGAATTGAAACAAGTTCAACTCAATAAGAACCATTTATTTTAAATGGATAGCATTTATTTATCATCCCCACTCGTTTATGTGCATTATGAATAATTTATAAATCCTAATTACATTAATTTTTTTATCAATAATACATTAAACTATACGTAATTTCAGAAAACTACTTTCATGCCAAATTTCTTAATATTCAATTTTAGAATTTATTAATTATCTATTTTAATAAATTAATATATTAAATGGACTTGGAAAATTATCAAACTCATTTTGGAAGTCCATTAGAACATAACAAAGCTATCAAATGATCAAATGATCTTAGAAACTCAAATACTTCATAAAAACCTCCTAATGACCTTTATCCATCTTACTAAAGAAAATTCAAAGATACTCCAAATTCAATATCAAATCCAAAAGTGCATAAGACATTTGGTTAATGATTAATTTGTTAAATTTTCTTTACCAAGTGATCACAAAGTGAGGCTATGGATTTCTAATGCTTTGGCGAGGCCCAACGTTCTATATTTAGCTTCTTGGGATTCTTTAATATACTTTGGTGAGAATTCAAGAAGTTATAAAATTTTAGCTTAAGTTATTTACTTGAAAATCCATTCCATTGTCATCCACGCCTCTTTTCCTTTTCCAAAAAAAACATCACTTATCTCACCTTGTCCAATAATACCATCAAAGATATAGTTCAACACCATAAGCACATGCATGCCCAAGACGTATGATGGAGTTAGTAAACCATTAAATTTGCATGTACATCATTTATAGTGTGAGATAATTATTAGTAGTATATCTAATTAGTGTAGAGCTTATTATTTGAAGAATTATCAACATGAACAGACATTGCAAAATAATTTAAACATTACTTGGGCACAACCATCTAACCTTTTAGAGAAGATTTCTTTAAGATCCATGAGAAATGTTGTGGTATAAGAAGATGAAAGACAAAAATTCAAACCAAAAATAAGATTCCAAAGGAAGATGGATGCTATTTCAAATAAATGGCCCATTACAAAGACCAAAATTAGTAAATTTAACCAAAATTTTTTTAAAAAAAAAGATATTACATAAATATTGTGTAAAGACTACATAATTATAGTTTTTAATTTTTAAATTTTTGCAAACTTTACAAATTTAAAATTGTAGTTGATCAAAATAGAAGAAATTCATTTCAATTTCATTATAGAATTGATTATTTGATTTGAAATTAATCAAATAATCAATTTTAAATACTCCTTGGTTGGCGACCACTAATTTAGAGGGGAAGTTAAACAATGGTAACCATTTCCTCCATAGCAACACACTTGGCTAACCCACCCTTAACTCCCTCTCCCTTTCTTTTAATTAATTTAAAATTGTCATATAATGAAAAAATACTATATGTTTCTTAAGATGAAAATTTTGAGCTTTATGCCAAAAAGATGAAGCTAGTTGGCTAGCCTCATACATTGAAAGAGTTAGGCAGTTTTTCCAAGTTGATGAGTGGTAAGTTTAAATAGCTTTCATAAAACCTCATAGTTTATTTCTATATTTATTTAAAATGGCTCTAGTTGATTCTACTAAGGTCCTATTGATGGTGTGGGTAGGTAATAGCTTGGATGCGTGAATGATATGTATTGGGTTGAAATATGATTAGGTTTTCTTTGATGTGAATTACCTAGAAAATACACAAGTGCACATGTCAATCAAGTAATAAAGTGAAATGAGAGAGTGTCAATCCCACGAGGAAGTGTTTTATAAATATGCTAATGATTATTTACTGCAATTACAATATTTATTCTACCAAACAAAAATCAGTGTTGTGATTTTATCTCCAGTTAAATAGGTAATAAAAAAATAGATGATTAACTAATGAGTATGAATTACCCAAGTTTTCCTAAGTAGACACTTCTATGCTTGATGAGGATCATAGCATATGCATCCCATGATCTCTGTTGAGCTTATAGTGATATGAAGGGAGGTTTATGGCCTCTAATGGTTATTACATCTCTGTAGAACCTAAAATATGAAACATCCTATGTCTAGGCTTGCAAGAGTTTCATTTCAATTCTCCTAATTATTCCAATATTCCTCCATTGAGGTAATACATCACACTAAATTTTAACTACACACATGATCATTGTATGTATTATTTTAAGAACAAGGGATATTAAAAACATCCTTTATTCATTCAAATGCACTTTCCACGCTCCTTTCTCATCCAAGTGTCTTATTTCTTGCAATAAGATAGGCTAAAGATTTTCAATTGTAATATTTTTCTTTCCCCTAGCCTCCCTTAGACTTGTCTCTAAGGGGGGCCTACACTTAAGATACGAAAATCATAAAAATGTGTGAGAACCTTTATGAAAAAAATGATATAACCTCTTCTCAAATGAAATAAAAAACTAATTGTACTAGTACATAAATAAAACTCAGGTACCACTCAACAGGTTAGTGTTGTGGTGCTATAAAATGAACTAGCCCCTTAGTATTGTTGGGCTTGCTCCATTGTGTTATTCGGCTGACCCGACATATTTGTGGGCTTAGCTAGTGCATCACTTTGCTTATTCAACATGACTCCATATTTTATCAAATGCTTCATCATAGCACCCCAAAATTTGAGTGTTTTGATGACTAAATGTGTAATCTGATGTTGTAGCATTATTTAATTCTTCTTTGCGGTGCTCAAATTCTTGAGACACTAGCACTATGGTGCTAATTTTTGGTGTTGTGCCATTGAGAAGTACTGTGGTGCTAAATTTAGTTCTATCAGGTCACTAAATTAATTAAAATTTTCCTTAAGGCTTCAATGTTGTAATGTCCTGATATGGCATAAGGGCATTCTTAACACTATAGTGTTGATAGTTTGAACAATGCAATGCTAGTTCAATACTTATGAATTTTCTCTGTTTTCATAGACATTCCTACACAACATCAACTACAAATAACATCTTTATTTATATTTAAAATATTAAAATATCTTAAAATTTACACTTAATAAATTCCCCCCAACTTAAACAATGGCTTGTCCTCAAATAATGGTGTAACCACCTATTGATTAGCTTACTAGCCTAAATAAAAATTAAAAATTAAAAAATGAAAAAATACTTTACCATTTAAATATAATTTGGAATGATTAAAGTTATGAAATATTAAGTTGAATAATTATAAGAAATTATTCTATTCAATCATTCTTATTGTTTCTCAAATTGAACTAATCCACTACAAGTGTAAATGTAGTGTTGACTCCTTATTTTAGATATGAGTAATATATCATTTAGAAATTATTTGTGCTATAGTTAAATTATAAGTTCATTAATAAACCATCATATATATTAGTTTACTTACATTCTCCTATTTGACTTAAGTATTATAGTAATTTTATTAGATACCCATTTTTGAAGCACTTGTCATCTTTTTCTTTGTCTTTCTTTTTTTAATTATCATGCTTTCAAATATTTCATTTTTGAGTACATAATAATGATTTTGAATATCTATTATTTTCTTTCTGCAAGTAACCATATTGAAATAATGTAGGGATGTTAGTAGGCTTACTAATTCCATTTCAAGTTTACAATAATTTTTATAATTTAATCTACACACTCCCTTTCTGTTAACTCAATTATTCAATCTTTAAATTATTAGTCTATGATTAAGTGTATGACATTTAAGTTCAAAGCACGAAAATAACTTAGATTATTTATTTAATTAACTATTATGATTTTCAAATTAAAAATTATATTTCTTTTTTCATCCAGATTATCATCTAGAGTTTAATATTATTCTTAATTTTAAATAATTTTTAATTTTTATTATTATTTTGGTTAAATGAGTAATCAAAGTGTAAGCACTATGTAGAGGACATTTTCAACAATTAAGCAATTATAAAATTTTCACTTAAAATGTAAACTAAATAAACACTACAATAATATAAATAAATAATTATAATAAGTAAATTACACAAATGATAAATAGAACAAAACCAAATACTTAAAAGAAAGTAAAAAATGCTCATAAGAACACATAACATATTTGGGTTGCCTCCCATCAATGTTAAGCTTTTAGTCTTCAGCCATACTTGTCTAGATATATCATTTTGGTTGGGTGACATCATACCACTTTCACAAGTAATCCACACTAAAATCTATCCCTTTCTCCTTTGGATTTATTTTAGTGTTACTATGCAATATTCCATGAGGTTAGCATCTAATAGAAATTACAAACTAACAAAATTAATTTTCTAAATTTGTATATGAAGCAGCTTGACTTTGCAATTAAGCTCCCAATTGAATCACTATATCTATTGATTGCTTTGATTAAAACCTATGAAAAAGAAGGTCTAGGGTTCACCATAGATCACTTAGGATTATTCTAATTTCTTCCTTAATTTAACTAGCCATCTTTCCACTAATTATTACTACCAATATTATTGTTGGACAAGCTAAAGTTAGGGTGGTTCCTCCAACCTCAGTTATAAGTATTAGTATAGGGATTATTTTGTCTTCTAATCAAATTGACATTCTAAATCCCTTGAACTTTATTCTTACCAATATAAATTAAATCATACTATTCAAATTTCATATATGATCTTAATATTGAACTAACTCGATAATTATCTTTTTTTTTTTGAAATAATAGCTACTTGAGTAGTTAGAATTGAAAAACCATTCAATTCTTAAACTTCAGCTACTCCTTTAGGACTCACCCTAGCAGAAGGACACTAAAATTTATTTGTAAACATTTCCTCAATTAATGCATAGATTTCATCAAAGATCCTCCTACTGTTGCATCAATTAATGAACCTAAGGAATCCTACAAGCATATTATTGGAAGTCTAAATAACTAACCAATTAGGTAAAGCTTGGTGAGGGCATTTTCTAAGCATATCCTTAAATCTCTCCCAACCTTCATAGATTGACTCTTTTTTCAAATTGAAAAAAAAAATGTGATATCAAATCTCCCTTCGTCGCAAGTCAATAATGAGATTGTGTTTTACAACAATATATTTAGTGTGAGAGTGTTGAATTAAATTCTTCGTGATACAAATCAGGACTTGCAATATCACAAATAATAGGGACGTTATCCACTAGTAATAAAAAATCAAGAAATTGTTGCTTCGGCCAAAAGACTTGGGCAACACAGTTTCTTACAGGCATATACTCAGTTTTTATGGTGGATAAGGGTACTAAAGTTTACATCCTACTAGACCAAGAAACAAAGGATTGTCCTATGAATTGAAAATTTTCTAAAGTGTTCTTTCTATCCATATTATATCCAAGAAAAAAAATCTAAGTATTCAACTAATTAAAATGCTAAAATATTTCTTGGAAACTAGATACCAAAGTTCAAAATGCTTATAAGATATCTCAAGGTTCTTTTGATGACAGTCATGTGGAATTCCTTTTTGTCAGCATAAAACAAAACACATAGGAAAATGATGAACATAATGTCAGGTCTACTAACTATTAAATAAAGTAAGGAACATATTATCCCTCTAAATTTCTTTTCATTAATTGACTTTCCATATTGATCCTTATCTGATTGGGTTGTTGGGATCATGGGTCTGTTCATACTTTAACAACCTTTATATCAAATTTCTTTAAGATTTCCTTTATGTATTTTATTTTGCTTATTAAGGTCCCATCTTCTCTTTTCTTTATACTAAATGTAAAACTTATATATTAACTTACCCATTATTCTCATTTCAAACTCATTACTTGTAATAGAAGAAAATTCTTTTCTTAGATTATCATCGACGAATCCAAAAAGATTGTCATAGATATTGATCTGCACAATGAGTATCTCATCTCAATTTTTTTAAAAAAATAGTGTGGTGTCTACAGTGCCCTTCACAAAAGCCTTATCTAAATGAAAGGTACAAAGTCTACCATTCCATGTTGTAGGAGTCTGCTTCAATCCATATAGTTCCTTCTAGATCTTGTGCACATGGTTAGGAATATTGAACTCTCAAATATGGAGGGCTATACTATATAAACAACTTCTTTAATTACTCCATTCAAAAAATCACTCTTTAAATATATTGGTATATATTAAATCCTTTAATTCAAGTAAATGCTTACAATACCCTAATCGCCTCTAACTTAGTAATTAGGGAAAAGGTTTCCTCAAAATCTCTATCTTATATTTGATTTTATCCCTTTGCAACCAACCTAGCCTTATTTCTCACAATTGATCCATAGATATTTAGTTTATTCTTAAATACCCACTTCATTTCAACAACATCTAATTAGTAGGTCTAGTCACTAACTCCCACAAAACTTTTCTTACAAATTGATTCAACTCATCCTGCATTGCTATAATTCAAAATCATCATCTAATACTTATTCTACAGTATTGAATTCTATCATAAAAATAAAGATTGTGTGGTTTACTTCTTTCCTAAATAAATGTCAACTCCTGACTCTTATGGATGGGTCTCCTATGATCAAATCCTTATGATGAATAGATGCATATCTCATTCTCTAAGTAAGGGATCCATAGTTTTTTCTCTATCTTATAAGATTATATTATGAATTGTAATGGTGATGTCATTATCTTCTTCCTCTTCTCTAGGTTAAGTATCCCTATAGGTCTCATCAAATACAATATGGGTTGACTCTTCTACTAGTAGTGTTCTCTTGTTAAATCCTAATATGCTTTACCTACTACTGAATGTCCTCAAAATACAACTTTATCAAACTTGGCTTCAAACATTCCCAAATTAGAATTTCCATTATTAAATATATGATATTTACATCCAAAGACATATAGGCAGGAATGGTTTATAGTTCTAAGCTTCAAAAGCTTGTAGGAGCTTTTATTCAATTTAGATATGGTATTCACCCTATTTAACACATAACAAGTAGTGTTTATTGCCTCAACCCAAAAGTATATGGTAGCTTATATTCATATTTTATGGTTATAGCTGCATTTACCAAGATCAAATTCTTTTATTCTAGTATGCCATTCTACTGGTGCATCCTAGGTGCAGAAAACTTGGGCTCTATTCCAACCTCTTAACAAAAAGTTATAAATCTATCATTTTCAAATTCTCTTCAATAGTCACTGTAAATAGTGGTAATTATGCATCCTAACTTACTTTGAATCTAATTGGACAAAATCCTAAACTCCTCAATTGAAATTCTTTTATTAACTAAGAATGTAACCCAAGTGAACCTATTATAGTCATATATAATAGCAAACTCAAATGATTTTTCTCCTAGACTTACAATAATGATGGGTTTAAATAGGTCCACATACAAAATCTCAAGTGATCTACCTATGCTAATCTTCATACGTGAGTGAAAAAAGGACTTAACCTGCTTATCAAGCTAGCATGCATCATAGAGATTCTCCTTAGTTAACAGTCACTGCCCAACCCAATATGACCAATAGATAAACCAAGTCATGTTATGTTAAATTATGATATTCCAAGCCCAATATCTAAGTTTTAGAGAATTTTTAAATTTCTTTAATTTAAAATAGAACATATAACTACTAAGTAACTTCCAAATAAATAGAAAGTAAAATCATCCTTAAATTTCATTTCTTTTTTCTTTCATGTTTAAAATATACAATAAAATCTACACATTAGAGTATATGGATAAAAACCAAAATAAAACAAAGATAAACCAGCCATGATTGTACATAAATTAGAAAATACCTAAGACAACTAGGAAAATAAAAACCTTGGACCACACCTACTTAATTGACTATTTTTCCTCTTTTAACCTAAAGTAGAATGCAAAATATTCGTGAGCCAACATAGTTAGCAGGACACACTCACTGATATAAATTTTAATAATGAATATATTACATATTTAATTAATGTTAAAAGTTTAAATAATACTTCATTGTGCTAGGAAAAATGTGCTTATAGTTTTTAGAAATTTAATAAATTATATATATATATATAGTAAATAAATAAGTACTCCATATCACATAAAAAAGTTATAGTTTTCCCTTAGGCCCTCATACCTCTTATCACGCCCTAGAATTTAATTAGGAAGAATTCTTTCTTTTATCTATAATTATAAAACAACCTGAGCTATCCAAATTCATTTATCAGTAATAAATAGCAAAAATAAATTCTATAATTTAAAATATCAATAAACATCTATATTAATTTGCTCCAAAATAAATCACATACAATACTTAGGAATCATATAATCATAGCATATTCTTTCATTCCTGAGTACAAAAAAATAATTAAAATAAAAAAACATAATCCGAGCAATAATAATTAGTCTCACACTCTCAAACCTCTTTCCTAACTTGACATCATTTGACTACATATAATGAGCTAAAGAATTCAGTAAGTTACTAAAATCTTATAACTACATTCAAAGCATAATAAAGAAGTGGTATGTATGTTGTCAATCAATTCATAATAGTAAAAATCATATGATCAATAATCATTATAGAAATAGTAAAAATCACAAACAGTTGTAGCGAAATCTATAAATAATAAAATAGTACAGTATGAAAGCTAATAAATAATGTAGTGGAGAAACTAATAACCCATTATCAAATTAATAAATCTATCATCATATTAGTAATATCAAACTGTAAAGTAATCATATAAAGTGATAAAATCAAAGCATCAGTGAAGGCTATTACAATCATATCAATACAATAAAATATTATAATGATGTACACATGCTACTAGTATGAAATCAGTATCATTAATTAGTATAATGAATGAATAATAATATTGAATGATTTTGATGTCCATGTCAACAGTAATATTAGTATGATATCATTAGTAAAATTAATGGTGATAATAATAATGCAAAGTAAAAATAGTAAACCCATATAGTAATAAGAACAATGCCTCGATAACATATTGCTAGTTAGTAATTATTAGCTCAGTAAATAGAGTCGCCACCCTTAGTCCATCGACATAGTAATAACTCCTTATAACTCATAATCATTATATCATTATATCATTATATCATTATATCAGTAGAGGATAATTTCAAATCATAATATTTAAAAGAAAGTCCATCTGCACACCATCCTATATACATATATTAATCACTAACCAATGGGGGTCAACTAACCTTTACTTATCTTTTACACACATATAAATTATTATCATAGTACTATTAAAATAATAATAATCATCTATTACTTAATCACATACCCACATTCATTTTCAATATAATATAGTAAAATGAGTATAGTTTGGCTTAATTCAGAAAGTGCAAAATGTTTTAATGGTAGGCAACATAAAATCCAACTAAGCGTAAATTCATATTTTTAACAATTAACTAAATTAATAGAGATAATATATAACAATACTCTAAAGCTTTAATTAAACTCAATTACTACTTTTAGATATTAAAATAAAATTTTAAATTTGTAAAAATCATAATTTTTTTAAAATCACCCTTAAAAAATCTCAAAAAAATACTCTAAACATTCATAATCTCAATTTCTATAACATATAGAAAGTTATGCGGAGAAAGTTTTACCAATAAAAAACTATCCTCATTTTCAATAACGAAAATACAAATTTGATCAAAAAATCTCAAAAACACCAAATTATTAAAATCAAAAATAGGATAATGACTCTTTATAATGAGTCGAGCAAATCTCCAGATATGATTAACTGACAAAAATCATTCTACAACCTCACAATCCCAAATTTGTTTTTCTCTCTCCTGTATTTTTCTTCAAAGCTGGTAGCATATACTGAATATAAACTAACATGTTTAGTCCCACATCACTTAGGAGTTTTATGTTGTGTTCTTTATATACCTTTCTTTGTACTCATGGTTTAAGAGCTCTCATGGTATTATGTCATCATGTAAGCTATATAATTTATATATCATTTAATAAAATTTTTGGAAATATTTTAATTATTTTTGGAATCATTTTAATTAAATAAAATATATAATATTTTAAATTAATTTAATATTTTTATATAAAAAAATATTTAAATATATTATTAGTTGA